TGCATTAAACGCAAACTCCAAAGCAACAGTGCTAAACGGAGGTATCAGCAGATCTTTCGCAATTGTAGAAACAATTGGCCAACGTCTTTCATATTTTCGCCAGAATTCAATTACTTTTTCTGAACTTTTTTTAATCGTTTTGTCTGTTGGCATATTTTGATTGAGCAATCAATTAATTCGACAGGCATCGCATTTTGCATTGCGACCGATGTTTGATGAGATGTAGATGTAAACGACATGGCACTAGATGAACACATTGCAATTGCATCATATCTATATGTATTAATACCTTGAAATAAATTTATTATTTCGACAGCATCTTTTTCAATTTCACCCGTAGGAGTAGGTACAGAGGGTACCCGACTAACATTCGCACCCATTCGTTCTGCATATAATTCATACATTCCACATAATGTTTGGTCTAAATTTCTATAGATGATAGGAGTATAAACGTTAAGGCTTTGTTGATTTGATTGATTACATATTTAGTTCCCGATAAATTATATCGGGATGCTAAAGGAAATAACATAGACAGGTCTTCTCAATATTTTCTAAACTTTAATTCCATAACAATTATAATTTCACTAAAATCAGAATCATTTTTATATTTATGAAATGTTCTTGCAATTATATAAAGGCGTTGAAGCGCCATACAACATATGGGATAACAAACGTCCGATAAAATTTTTTGTAGTCTCATAAAAAAATGTCAAAAGATTTTTAGCTTCCAAAGCTAAAACACAATCGGATTCATTCAACATAGCATCGTCATCGCTTATAACGTATCTATTGTTATAAAAATCAGTTACTAAATGTTCGAAACTTTCACACGATTTTAATAGTAAGTAAGTAGAGTTTCATCTATGACCTACATCGCTAACAAATATTTTAGCAGTTGTCATCCCTAATTTGGCACAAAAATCTTCAAAAGCTTGTTTTCTACTAGGGGAGATCATAATATATACTAGTGCATTACTAATCCTTTGAATTTTATCATTTATATATTTTAAGTCTTCTTGCACAATTAAATTCAAAATATGACAAATACAACAAATATGAAACAAATACCATCGAAATCAGGTTGAAGTATCCTACACAATTTATCGACGACTACCTTATTAATACTAGCATTATCGAAAGTAAAAGATCGAATTTTAGTTTCGCAATTATATTATTTAACAATACTGATAATAGCATTATATATATATATATATATATATATATATGTATGTATGTATGTATGTATGTATGTATGTATGTATGTATGTATGCATCAAAGTGGGTCTATATAGTGTGCGATTATAGTTATATGAGCTCTTCTATTAATCTCTTCCCATATATCAGAAGTTAAAAATATAACACCCCCATATTGTTGTAAATATATAATGAATTGTTGTTTTGAATCATTGAAATATTGTATTGCATCGACATGAAGAGTGTTTCAACTTACCTAACGTACCTTGGTTGCAGATATTCTTTCACGTAGGAGAGGAAGTATTGGTTGTCGACAATAACCAGAGGCAACTTATTGACGGCAAAAAATTTCACTATTTCGATTCGAGCTTTCTCATCCGAATACACCCATGTGGATAGGGATAAAGTTGTATAACCAGCACCTGAACTGCCAAATTGCAATTGTGTTTGACCGGATGGAAGAAATCTATGTCTGGCCGCACATGTTTTGTAGTGACGGTTGAGATGGGTGGTACCAATTCCTTTTTGCTATGTCAATCTTTGTTAGCAGTATAAATACTGTCTTAGATTCTGTGATGCCATCGACTACTTTTTTCATTAAAATCAATTTAAAGTGATCCTAACATTTTGCTTATTTTTTCTCTTTTCACTTTTCCCTAGCATCTGAGATGTTTAATTCGGGCTCTTCGTCCTCATATTACGCTTTAGGAATGTTAATATCATCCAAATCAATTGAATTGTGACTTCCATGACCATGAATGTGATCATCATCAGCTATGAATATGTCATTTAGATCGACAAATTCAGTCCGAAATTGACTTTGCAGTGTCCTAGACGATTTTCCATGTGGTCCACATCCCGTATCAAACAAACTCTTAACAAATGAGCGATGATCCATTTGTTTGATTGATTGTGATGAAATCCAAATATAATTAGTAAACATATAAATGTAGTGAAAAACAAGAATTGGACGAAATTTCAATAAATATAAAGAGAAATGAGAATTTGATTAATTGAAATTGAAATTAAATAAACTGTAAAAAAATGATCAATATTGTATATTTTGTACAAAAGAGTTGAAACTTGAAACTTCAAACCTAATAGATAGAGAATTGAGATACAAAAATATTAAGATTCATAGGAGGTATTTATAGAAGTGGGGGAAGAAGGCAAAAAAATTCAGTTTCGATGACCCTTTAGTCACTGTTTTACACAAAAGTGACCAAAGCAGTCACTTTTTCAAAAAAAAGTGACCGTTTTGGTCACTTTATCACACAAGTCAGGCTCGTGGTTTGTTAAGTGACGAGCCACGAGCGGCTCACCTCTCGCTCGGCTCGCCCAACGTCCAGGCCCGCGCTCGGGCTTGCATTTTTACAAGCCGAGTCGTTCACGAGCCCCATTTTGACGAGTCGAGTGGACGAGTCGATGAGCCGCTCGACCCCATTGCCATCTCTACCCTTACTATTAGCTTATAGGATAATAATGAAAAACAAAATCAACATACATATATACACCCACTAAAAAATAAAAAATAAAAAATAATCTACTTTCAAGGATGAAAATTGTCGTAAGAAAGTCATTGTTGATTATCTAGAGTGTGTTTGAGCCCCATTATTTGGCATTATAATGAGATGAATAATTTTTTTTTTTAAATGAGTGGTTGAAATTTTTTTGATTTACGTGTAATATTATTTTATTGAAGATTGTGTGGCTAAAAGTAGGGGAGAGAAAATTTTAATTTAATGTAATGAAAAATAATGGGGTTCAAACGGGTTAGTTGGGGATCTCAAGAGAGAGATCAAGATAAAGTGTTCATAAAAGTAAAATTTCTTAGAGTGACCTAAGAAATTGTTAGATGAACCATAACAACTTCCAAGAGACCCTAAATTACACGTGATTGTATACATATATCCATGTATACCATGCCATTCCATGTGATGAAAAGCCATTATTGAGTTGTGAGGTTGAAGCATATGCATCCGTTCACGAATTCAAAGTTTATCCAAAAGAAGTTAAGGAAGCGTGATGCATTCTGATAGCATGGATTTACATAGAAAGTATTATATACATGGCCAATATGATACTAATAATATCATTTTATTCATATGTTATCATTGAGCTTTACATTTCTACCAAGAAAATGTGTCATATATTAATCGTTTTAGATTAATAAAAATATACAGCCCAATTTTTAAAGGATTCAGAGCACTGTCCCGTCAAGGTAGAAGTTACGGATTCGAGCCCCATCAGTCTTGACGATTCAAAAAAGACATCAATATGTCTCTTTTTTCTATAAAAAGGGGAGATGGAGCATAATTTCATTCCCATCGTCAAATTAAAAATTCATTGATCAATGATGGCTATTTTGTTAGACAACGTGAAAAGTCTTTCATAGTATTCTAGAAATGTAAAATACTAGTTTTTACGATAGCTACTGTCAATTATTTTTTCTTGTCAGGAAAAGAAAAACGAGATAGTATTTCTAATTAGTTATCTTCTCAATTGGCTAATTTATATCAAGCTTGCGTGAGACGATTGATATAGCCTAGGTTTGTCTCTTTTCTTTTGAATGTACCAAATTACAAGTGAATCTTGTGTCGTTTTCTCTATTTTTAATGTGATAAGAGAGTGTTGTTTTCTACGATCAACTTGATTGACCGTCCTGGTTCCTTTTTTGGGGTCTCTTATTAAAGTCGTTTGCTTTGTCATGGCCAACTAGACCGACCATTGGTTTTGTCCTAATAAAAAAATAAATATATCATTTAAATTCACAACTGTCTAATCGATTGATTTAGAGCTCCAAATGTAGTGAAATAAAAGTTTTTATATTATTTGTATTGAGGATTAAGTTTAAATATATAAATGTATTTACTTTTTAAATGGCAAAAATATGTATTCTTTATAAACTTTAAATTTCCCATCAATGTTGATATCAAATAATTTCAGAACATGCAAAGGTCTTGAATCTAAATCTAGCAACTAGGAGCCCTTTCTGAAATAATTTTGGTATTTGCACATAAAAATAAAAATGATATATAAGCAATTATTGAAAATGACGTGGAGAGAAAAAATTAATCGTGTTTTCAACTGATAAATTGTAAAGTGTCATGTGGATATTATGTTATCCATTACATAAACATTAATATACATTAATATACATGTTGCAAGGACAGTAGATTTTTTATGATGTAAAGATGACATTATGTCAGCATTAGGCAAGGGGACTTCCAAATTTTGGATTATCAACTGCAAAAATTAATTGCCAACAACAATTATGTGTCTTTTTAATTTCATATCCTTATTTCACCAACTACAATTTATGTTTACTAAAGTTTAAATTATAATTTAGACTGATCAAACCCATTTTTATCCACATTATATTCTATGAATCCTCAACTTATTATTATTATTTTTTTTCATTGTGAGACTCGGAGCTTAAATTATAATTAAAAAAAGTACAAATATCAACTATAAACAAAATTTTGTAAAGAGAGTAAGAATTTGCAACCATGCATTCAAATCACACAAAGTGACGCAGAAAATTATAAAACACTATGATAAACAAAATTTTAACTTTTCTTCTCTCTTTAATATCATATAGTAAAATACAAGTTCGTCACGTCATTGAAGTATACAAGAGAAGTATATGATCCTGTGCAAACCTTAAACGTCCAAACAAACAATTCAACAAGAACAAACATCTAAATGGCTAGAAAAACAATTTGTCCTAGTCATAATCAATCAATAAACCATAAGCATGCCCTCAGAATTTGTCTTCATCAGGAAAACTACGTGCACAATGCAACTTTCCAGCAAAGCTTCCAACCATATATTAATGCAACCACTCATATATACACAAGGTGACTTGTACATGAAAATGATGGCAAATAGTTTATTGGCTGCTTTATATATCACAAAATCTTAAAATATTATCGTAGTATCATTGTCTGTAAGCAGAGTTTGACTGTCTAGAACGGTCTCAGGTTTGCGTCGATTCCATTGAATTCCAAAGCCAACGGGAAAAAAAAAAGATTAAGTTTCCAACCGGCTTAGCATATGATGCATGCGTTTGGATTTTCATCCATGCTGTGATGTGGATGGTAATATGATTGCATGGAAGGATAATAAGGCCGATATGGCATTACCATCGGTTCAGGGCCGGGCTTCTTCTCCTCTTCCTTCTTACCCTCCTCTTTCTTCGTTTCTTCTTTTTTTCTCTCTTCTTTCTTCGATTCTTCCTTAGTTTCTTCCTTTTTCGGCTCCTCTTTCTTGGATTCTTCTTTTTTTGGCTCCTCTTTTTTCTCGGGTTCTTTTGCTGGCCCTACTGATATTATGTTGGCTGGCCAGTTCTTCTTCCGCAGTTTGCTCACGACACTGATGGTGACACGACCCGTCCCAACTCAACCTAATTGACTCGACACGTGTCGTGCGCCGGTAGTAGATGCCAGCAAAATACCGGACCCACCACCAAGGCAAACTTGACCTATTTTGACTGTGCTAATATCTATAAAAATTTTGACAGAGTTTCCCCTGTAACATGGACAAAACCAACCTGAAAAATCATCAAAATCTCAAATAGACATTTAAACCAAAAGTTTTGCAAACCACCACTTCCTCTAATGCTACCACAACTACTACAAAATATAACAAAATTCGACTGAGTGTTTTTATAACATCATCCTGTTGACATGCAAGTATTATATCACTTGCAAACCCTTCTACAAATATGCTTGACACCCAAAATTAGACAATTACTTAATAAACATAAGTTTCCCAAATATTCATTACATACTTATGAAACTGTCTCTTTCGTTTCAGCAGGCTTTTTCCCAATATCTCAAAATCGACCTTCTCCTGATAGGAAAACATAGTAAAAAGATATGAGTTTACAACTCAGTGAGTGGATAGTTGAAAATAAATAAACTTTTCCATTTATACTATTTTCTGAAAATTCTTGCACTATTTATCGCTAAGAACTTCTGAAAAATAGTAACACTTTTAAAAACTAAACATGATCATATCATAATTTCTTGGACATAATTCTAGAAATGCAACTGTATAACATAATGACTATAAATACTCTGATATCCATGAAAAATTATGAAATATT